GGCCAATGGAACTGTGGATTCTGTTTACCGTCCACCGCCCGCATGTGCTTGCAACTACCGCAAGAATTTTTCATTATTCTTAATTATTTTCATTATTTGTCATTATTTTTAATTCTACGCATCGAAACTTTCAAATATACATCAAATCATCAAATCTTCGATATAAAAAGCCGCACATTGCTGATGTATGATGGATCAGTCGGCATTTGTTCGGTACACTCGGAAATTCGCGAGTCTGACATGTGCAAATTCGAAAACAATGGCGTAACAAAGAAATTTTCAGCAAAGGAAAGCCCAAAAATGATAAAAGAATGCTGGACAAAAGTGTTGATGGTCGAGATCAAAAGAAAACGATTTAAGGATCATTTTTGGTCGGAAAATAGATAATAACAAAAATAATGAAAAATGAATAATGAAAAAAAACCGCATCAGATTTTTAAAATTCTAGGACGGTAAACAGAATCTACAGTTCCATTGGCCTAAAAAACAAATATCCAAGTTTTTTGCGAAGAAAATCGACGATACGGGAAAAGTACCTATTCACGATATATCTATACCTGGTCAAAATACCCCGCAAGTAGAAATAACAGAGGTAGGTGAAATTTCCTCTGAAATTAATGTCAATAATGAAACAATAAACGAACAGGACAATGTTAATTCAACCCAAGATCCTACACCAAGTAACCCAACCTTAATTCACCCAGACCCTAGTAGTCCAGCAACCAGTCAATCAAGTGGAAATTACGTCTAGGTTATGGTGCAAAAACGAAGCTTGCAAAGTTAACTTTACCCCGGTTCAGAGGAGATATTACTGAATTTCAACCATTTTGGGATAGTTTTGAAAATGCTGTCCACAAGAATACAAGTTTGTCAAGCATTGACAAATTTAATTACTTATATTCCTTGTTGGAGGGTTCAGCATTACTGGTTATTAAGGGATTGGCTTTGACGGAAGAAAACTACAAGGTTGCAATCGACATTCTTAAACAACGTTATGGCAATACTCAAGTTATCATATCCGCCCATATGGATGAGACGTTAAAACTTCCCGATTGTTCGACTGGAAAGGTACGCGATCTTCGAAGAGTGTATGATAAAATTAATGTTAATGTAAGAGGGCTTGAGGCACTTGGAGTAAAATCGGAACAATAGAGTAGTCTACTCATTCCAGTAATCATGGCAAAACTAGCACCCAAGTTACGAATCCATGTTGCAAGAAAGACTGCCAGTGAACTTTGGAAAATTGACGATATTCTGGAAATTATTCGAAAGGAAGTGGAAGCACGGGAGATCAGTGAGAGTGTTCGTACAAACAATTCTAGTTTTAATGACATTCGCAAGCAAAACGAAGTATGGAAACCAAATCGACAGCGGAATTACAGTTCATCTGCGGCAAGTCTATTCGTTAAAGATGGGAAAAATGAGCGAAAGATAAAATGTGTCTATTGTGGACAATATCATTACTCAGCATCGTGCGAACATGTGAAAGATGTGGATGATCGAAAGGGCATTTTAAGAGATCAGAAACGTTGTTATTTATGTTTGGAAGGTGGTCATTGTGCACATGAATGTGAAAATGGCAGGCTCTGTCGTTGGTGCAATGGCAAACACCATCAATCTATTTGTACTAAAGCTACCAAAACATTTCGAAAGATCAATCCTGAAGAAACAACAAAACCAGGAGCGAAAGAGGAGAAAAAAGAAACGCAGAACCTCACAACAACTACAACATCCAACGGTTCATCAAAGGTGCTTTTACAAACTGCCACTACATATGCTTATTCTCAACATAGCAACTGAGCTATTCCTGTTCGAGCGCTTTCAGACAGTGGTAGTCAAAGATCATACGCAACCAATCATCTGAAGAAACGACTTGGCCTCCAACAAGTAAAGAAAGAAACGCTTTGGCAGGATAAATTCACAAAACAGAAATGTGATGTTGTCAGTTTAAACCTGAAAGGCAAAGAAGGCAAAGATATCGAAATTTCAGCTCTTTGTTTTGAGAAAACCTGTTCATCTCTTCCTACCAAGATTGAGCTCGATAAATATCCACATTTGATGGGATGGATCTTGTTGATTCCTCTCTCGCAGAGAACAGTCATGATGAAATCGACATCTTGATAGGATCTGATTATTATTACGACATTGTAATTGGGGAAATTGTAAGAGGAGAAAGTGGTCCAGTGGCTGTCAGCAGCAAATTTGGATGGGTTTCTCTCTGGGCCATCGAGAGACACTGGAAAAAATAACAATGCAACATTATCGCACTTAGTAATCGAACGAGAAGAACCTGCAAGATATATATTGCCCAGCAGCATTAAACGAGATGATAACCTGACAGATAGTCTTCAAAGATTCTGGGAGATCGAATCGACTTGTATCAAGAATGATACGTTTAGTGAAACCCAGACAACGGAATTTCTACCCGAGATACATTTTGATAAGGACGAAGGAAGATATGAAGTTAATCTGCCTTGGAAACAGGACTGTTTTCCAAAGTCAACAGGATATGGTGTGTGTGTCAACAGATTGCGACAACCGCATTTACGTCTGAAGAAAGACAATACTCTACTGGAAGAATGTAATAAAGTCATTCAGTAGCGAATAAATAGTGGTATCATCGAGTCAGTACCAGAAGAAGACGACAACGAGGGTTACTACTTACCACCTCATGGAGTGTTGAAGTCCGAGAGAGAGACTACAAAACTACGAGTGGTTTTCGATGGATCAGCAAGACCGGATATAGACAGTCCATCCATAAATGAATGCTTACAAAAGGGTCCCAACCTTATACCGCCTTTATTTGATACAATAATACAATTCAGAAGTTATCCAGTGGGGATTGTTTCTGATATTGAAAAGGCCTTTCATCAGGTGCAGATTAATCCATCCGATCGTCGTATGCTTAGGTTCCTTTGGTTCGATAACATTCGAAAGGACAATCCCACTATTAAAAGATTCCAATTCCGACGCCTTGTATTCGGCTTAACACCGAGTCCAGCAATTTTGTCCACCGTGATACAAAATCATTTATCACAACATGACGAAAAAGGTTCTATTGTACCCCAGCTGTTAAACGAATCGCTCTACGTTGACGACTTCGCAGGAGGAGCTGATAATGATCAAGAAGCATTGGACACCCTTGCGAAAATAACTATATTATATTGCTATTTTGAAACTATTTTATTACTATCACCCCTATTTTTATGCTATTTTATTCAGAAGCAACCCTATTTTAATTCTATCATTATATTTCACCAAAAGAAAGAGCCATATTTTATTAATGTTTTATTTTATTTTATTCCTATTTTTATAGATAATAGAAATAAAATCGCATATTTTAATACTATTTTCCAGAGCTTCAGGGAAAAAATAGGTTTAAAATAGCCTATTTAAATTCTATTTTACTTCACTAAAAAGCAGTTAGAAATTAAAATAGATATAAAATATACTATTTTTAAACTGATAAAATAAAATAGGCTGTTTAAATCCTATTTTACATTGCAAGTTAAATGCACAACTTTCAAACAGGAATAAAATATACTATTTTAATCCTATCTTTCCTTCATAGTTAGTAAAATAACAATAAAATAGACTATTTTAAACATATTTTGCACGTGCAGAAAATTACATAAATTAAAATAGATATAAAATATAGTGATTTAAAGCTATTTATTTTTCAGAATACGTAAAACAGAATAAAATAGACTATTTTAAACCTATTTCACAGTTTAAAAATGCCACATTTTTCAAATAGGGATAAAATATACTATTTTAAACCTATTTACTTTCCCTAATTTGCAAAATAGAATAAAATACACTATTTTAATCCTATTTTACATTTACAGGAATTCAGGATTACAATTTGCAGATATGTATAAAATAGTCTATTTAAATTAAACATACTGAATTTTCCTACTTAGCAAAATGAAATAAAATAGAACCGTATTTTACATTTACACAGATAAGGGACCGATCATTAATAATGGAAGGGGGTGAGGGGCGGAGTGTGAGAAAAGGAGGAGGCTTCAACTATTGCGTACAGCGTCATCCCCACTGGTCATCCCATGCAGTGCTTCCACTTGCAAGGAAATTTCTTTGCAAAAAGAAATAAAATTTACTAGGAAACGGCAAGGAATTTTGTTTTCAGCAAGTTTTAATAAATCCTACGATTATAGCAATTCCCAAGCAAATTCGCGTCAGGAAATGTCGAAAATCCAAACTACTCCTGGGGAATGGAAAATCTGAAAAATTTCTGAGGCACGACCTCAAGCCTCCTGTTGCAGTTTTTTATAATTAATTTATAATTTATAATTGCAACGTTCATGGTGTTTCTCGCCCGAGAAATACACCGTCATTCAAGATGAATTATTGTAATATCAGTTTTAAACTAGGTAAAATTCATCTTCATCAAAGGAATTTTTGTCAAAAATAAGGAAATTTTGAGCAGTTGGGAAGAAAATTATTTTTTTGAAAGTGGAAGTGGAAGCACTGAATTTACACCCCGCCATATTTTTTATAATCAGTTCGTGATTTCGAAGTTACAATATTTCTCTCGATATTTCGATACGATGAAGCTTTATTAACCGTGAATAATCGAAGGTGAAACATCAGGGATGATTGAGTAATGTCCGGGTAAGAATCTTGTTATGTTTTATGAATAATAGAGCAATTTTGAAAGGAAATATTTGCTTTTTTCATTCGTGAATTTTGAGAATGCACGTGTTTGATGACCTCTGATGTTTCGGCTTAAAATTTGAATTTGCCGAGACAATTTCGAAGTAATATTTCGCTCGATATTACGAGCCGATGAAGCCTTAATAAGCGAAGATGAAACATCAGGGATGTCTGAGTAATATCCAGCTAAGAATCTTGTTATGTTTGTGTATAATAGAGCAATTTTGAAGGGAAATATTTTCTACTTCAATCTTCATTAGTGAATTTTGAGAATGCACGTGCAGCTCCTTGAAGTTTCGGCTTAAAATTTGAATTTGCCGCGACAATATTTAAAACGATGATATAAAACAATAGTTTAATTCAAAGCTTAATACATTTGACTCAGTCTTTATATTAAATTATGTTTATTGTAACTAATGCCAAATAGTTAATAGTTGTGTAATATATGACAGATTCCAGTGGCAGTGTTTCTTGTATCAAAATTAAATAATATTAATATAAGTTCAATTTAATCAATCTTTTCTCACACTACATTCTATAATATCTAACATCTCTCCTCCGCCATACTTGAATCCCCGTTCTCACCGTCCCGCGGTATATGTCTATGATACCACTAAATACTTCATTTAAATATAAATATAGGGTACCTTATCCCCCCTTTTTAACAGAAAATGTCCATAATAATGACACAGTTATTTTAGTCCTTGAATATACAGTACCTGTTGCGAGTAAGGGTACCTCCACTCGCGCGTAGCGAGTACTCGCGAGTACTCGTTCTGACTCGCTACTCGCGAGTACTCGCATTTCATCTCACTCGCAAGCACTCGCCACTCGCAACTTGCGAGTGCTTGCGAGTCAAAAGGCTCAGACAATTTGTACAAATATGAAGCGAATAATTCAGCTAAATGAAATAAAACTCCATAGTTATATGAAACCTAGTATGATAGATACTAACGTGTTTATAAACGACTGCCACATGGTGGGAAATATTTTCTTCGAACACAGTTCGTAAATGGACGGACAGTCTTAGAAGCGTTAACTATAACTGAGTCTATATCAATCAAAACAAAGCTTTAAAAGCAAAACCGCAATAAAAAATGTAAAAATGACACCAAAATGGGAATGATTGGACGAACAAACGCCATATTTAAATTTGGGACTATATATTCAAATATGGTCCGGTTGTAAGAATTGGCATTGAGTTCACTGACGCTGTTTAACAATATAAATATCGAGTACTCGTCGACGTTGTCTTGTAGTTGCAGTAAGCGGGTTTGAGCTGAGGACAAATTTACATAATTTAATTGCTAAGTTCGTCAATGGCCCATATGCCGCAGTTTCTAAAAAAAACCATCTATTATAATCTGTGTTCAACGAATATATCAATGTTGCTTGAACTGTGTCAGGCCGAATTTTTCCCGAAACTCGAAAGGCAAAAGTCTATTTAAAAATTGTGTTAATTTGTAACCGCGTAATATTAGGAACTTTTTATCATGATGCGCATGAAAATATGTGTTGTTGGTTTTGACAGCTTATAAGTATAAAACTACAAATACAAATATATTAATTTTTCAAACAACTGCATTATCTTGTCAAATTTTCTCAGCTATAGCCTGGCTATATAGTATTGAAGAATATGCCAAAATTTGATTTCTTTTACTCGGTCAAGAAGCCTAATTAACTAGAACTGCATGGTTATGTGAGCATTTTTTCTTCTTAAAAATTGGCACTCACACAGACAGTTCAAGATTTAAGTTTATGTTCGTTTTGCCCCGAGTATGGTTCAATGGATATAAACATGGCTTTTTTGAGATTAGAGTTTTGAGTAAGTTCTAGAAAATAGTATATATAGCTATTGTATGTGATAAAATATTAAAGTCAATGTTCATGAATTGTGTGATGCCCAGCTGTCACAATGTTACCGGCGAATACTGTCACCGGTGTCAAATTACACTAGTCAATAATACTATAATTATAAATAAATCTGCATTTCCCCCATGAGACACAATTCACAACAGTTAATGCTGTAACGCTACAATGCCTCGATTAATTTTGGACTGAAATCAAATCGTTTTCGCTCGATTGCATGCAGAAGAACTGATTTATGCTATTCAGTGCTTGTTAGTGTCATATTTGTCGCATGGTTTCATCGCATCCTTCCTCGTTTATTAAAAAAGGCTAGCCATGTTTATATCCATTGAACCATACTCGGGGCAAAACGAACATAAACTTAAATCTTGAACTGTCTGTGTGAGTGCCAATTTTGAAGAAAAAAATGCTCACATAACCATGCAGTTGTAGTTAATTAGGCTTCTTGACCAAGTAAAAGAAATCAAATTTTGGCATATTCTTCAATACTATATAGCCAGGCTATAGCTGAGAAAATTTGACAAGATAATGCAGTTGTTTGAAAAATTAATATATTTGTATTTGTAGTTTTATAC